TTATTTTATTATTTTCTTTATTGACAGGACCAAAACTTTTTATTTCTTTTTACATTTACAATACTTTTTATTACACAAATTACATAAAATCTTAAATTCTTATTGGATAATCAAATTATTTTGTTGACATCCAAAAAGGGTACCAATTTGAAATTTAGTAATTATTCCAGTATAGATTAACAGTTTATCTCGTATTACCAGACAGTACAGGTCATACGTTCGAGACTGGCTAGGGTGAGCTTTCTGTCAAAGACTCAGGCATTGTAAGGCCCTTAGTTGAAATACTAGAAATCATCATTATTTTATTTTTCTTCGAACTATTATATATATTTTTTTACATTATAATATTATATTTTATTTATTTAAACTTAAAAATTTTAATTTTATTAAAACAAAAATGAAAAAAAAAAAAATAAAAAATCTAATAACAAAACAAAACTAAAATCCAACACCTGACAATCTATCTCTACTACTACTATCTTTATCCCTTCTTTCTTCTCCTTGTAACCTTCTTAACTCTTCTTCACAATTCTCCAATCTGACCCTCAATCTATTCCTTTTCTCTAACAACCTCATATATCTCTGTTCTAACATCCACTCATTCTGTACCCTTAACACCGCATTCGATCTACACTCTTCTAACTTCTTTTCTAAACTCTGAATTTTTCTTTTCTGGGAGGCCACCAAACAAAGTAAACTATAGGAAATTTTTCTTATTAGTTAAAAAAAAAAAAAAAAAAATTTTTTTTCTCTTCAATATTTACCGCACATTCGCATCTTGGACTACTCCCAAGGCCTTATACAAGGCATTATTGCCCCCATGACGAATATTTCTTGATACATTGGTTCTTGGCATTGTTGTTATTATTACTATTATTATTATTGTTATTGTTGTTGTTGTTGATTTTTTTTTTTTGAAAAAGGAGGAGGAAGAGATATAAAATTTTTCTTTTCTTCTTACAAACAATAATCAAAATTTTTTTTTCTTTAATGAAACAAAATTAGGAACTAAAGAAAAGTTGATTTAACAAATTTGAGAATCAATTGGAAATTGATTTAACAAATTTGGAATAACAAAATAATTTGTAAATCGTATGATTACAAATAATAGGAACAGAACTTATTTTTAACTTTCTATAATAATTTAGAATTTGTGGAACAAATTTCTTTAAGGAGATAAAAATGTTATAGAATAGATTTCTATTATTGTATTATTTATTAATTATAGTTACTTTAATGCTTTAAACATTTTAATGCCTTAAACTTGTGAAACTAGTTGCTTAGTCTCTTAGTGTAACTAGTCACTTAGTCTCTTAGTGTAACTAGTCGCTTAGTCCCTTAGTATAACTAGTCACTTAGTCACTTTGTCACTTAGTTGCTTAGTTGCTTTGTTACTTTGTCACTTAGTCACTTTGTCGCTTAAACCCAAAGATATATAAACCTTCTAAATTTACCCAAGTAAAAAGCATTCAATTCAAGTTAGTTCAGTTTCAAGAAACAGACAATTCCCCTTCTTCTTATCCTGTAAATTATATCTTGAATCCTTTAGGATAGGTGCCTAAGGATAGTCCTTCTTGTTATTCTTTAATAAATGACTTTAACTATAAACTACTATGTAATAATTATCAAACTGCCTCAGAGATGGGTATAGTTTTTTGACAATGTCTAACAGGAACTATACTTCCCTCTTGGACATTGCATAGAGTCCCTGTGCCATGTCATTGTTGTAGTATGGAAATAAGAAATCTTCTACTCTATAACAATACTATTAGTCTAACTCTTCTATTTTTATTAAAGGCACTGCTATTATGATCTGCAATCATCTTAAACCTTATATTCACAGTATTTATATCCATCTTGGAGATGCTATAGCACTTGATATTTTCTTTTGAAATAATATTAAGCTTTGCATCATCTTAGTATATCTGTTATTAACTGACATCACTACTTATAATCAAACTCAAAATATTGTTATTAACTAGATCTAACAAGCTTTTTAACTTCACATCTACTCTATTATTCTTAGTAATTTTAATATACAAGATAATACTTACAGCTCTTCTTTCAAATACAAACTTATTAATTTTTTTAACAATACTAATATGTATGATATTGAAACTTACTTTAACAACAAACATTCTATTTAGTCTAATAATGCTAGTAGTAGTCATATTGATTATATTTGGACTGATCAATTTAATATACAATTTTTTTTTTCTTACAAGATTGATAATAGCCAAACCTTAACTTCTAGTGATTATCTAATTCTTTTCTCTATATGAACATTTTTATATGCCTATAGCAAACCTTTATACAAACATACAGGTATTAGTTACCACATCTTTAACTACAAGTTTATGTCTACAGAGAACTGAAAATCCTTTGCAGATACCTTATTCCAACAACTCTTATTATACAAAACTTTTGTTAATAGTGAAACTGATAAAAGTATTGAAACAACTTGGCACAAAATTCAAAACTTTATTATTTACTCTGCTATTCATATTATCTATAATAAAGTTTTTTATAAATGTAGCTACAACTATTAATACTTACCTCACAGTACTCTATTACATCTATCACTTAAAAAACTTGGTCATATTATTAAACTTGTTAAAAACTCACTTAACATTCTAACATCTTCAACATCAATCAAAATATTTCTCAAATTAACAAACAGTCACAATGTGATCTTTAACTACTTAACTCCACCAACCCATCTTGTACTTAACTATGGCTTCAACATGCTTACTCTATCTGGAAACAACTTTTTTATACTTGTTATTTCAAAAAATATGTTATCCTTACAACACATCTTACTCAAACTATCAATAGCATTCTTAAATGCTACTATTAATATGTTTATTTCTTTAATATAAAACTGTCTAATAAGCTTATAACTGACTTACTACTTATAAAACAGCATGTTCAATTACATTTTCATAACTGGACTGCATTTAAACCTATTGATAAAACTCTTTTTAATAACTTTTGACAACAATACTATCTTCTATTGCCTCATATCAACCTTATTAGTATTAATCTCTTAACTCTTTTATTACAAATAAAGAACTTTCTTAAATACTCTTTTAGCTTCCTAACAACAAAGCCTGTAGTCCTATAGGCATTAGTTATGAAATACTTAAACATATCAGCTCTAAATACACTTCTGCTATTACTAGTCTTTTTAACTGTTGTCTTCTTAAAAACAGAATTCCTAAACAATAAAAACATAGCAGAATTTATCCTATTCCTAAATGTAACTTCTTTGATGATGATCTTAATCTTATTTAACTATTAGTCTTGTTTAACATATTTACAAACTATATCCCTTAGATTGTAAGCTAATACAAACAAATTTGCCTGTGTTTTTGCATTTTTTTTAGCTCTGATCTACTTTTTTAAATTGTTAAAATATATAAATAAATTTGGTATAATAATATTTGAAAATAAGAATTACAAGGATGTGGCAACCTAGTAAAGTGGTCAGGTTGTCAACCCTCCAAGTGGTAGGTTGGGTGTTCAAATCCTATTGATAGTGAAAAATTTAGATAATTACCTATGTAATATTTGTATTATGATAACTGTTACTAATGATTGAGTTAGGATACCTGTAATGACAGTCACACCAGCATGACTGGCAGGTCATGGGACATCTGTGCAATGTTGAAGTTACACAGAGGAATGCAAACTGACAAATCAGGTGGTGCAAACACTAGATAAGTCTTTGTGGCTATGTAAATTTGTTGAAATTGGGTAACAAAAAGTCTATTTGGAAAGACTCAAATAGAGAAGTAGCTGGATCTTCGACAACCTTACTGTAAAGGCTAGCTAGGTAAAACAGATATCCAGGTCTAGTACCTAGTCCTAGTAGCTAGATGGGCAAGAACCTCCAAGTTGGGAGTTTTAGAGGTACTACCAACTAGGCCACCAGAATGAACTAGAAAAAAAGGATATTGGGCCGACCTAATATACCGATAGACTGGTTGTAGTTCTATACAGGCAATCTGAATTAGGAGTTTGGTAAAAGGGCAAGAGAAAAGGCAGAGGTATACTAAAGTACTGGGGTTATGCTGTGAAGTAGATGCTGGGGTCTAAGTGAACTTTACAAGGGCACAGTAGTTTAATGGTTAGTCCTAACTGCAAGTGTTGATTCTGCCATAGCGATATCTAGGTCAGCTGTAAAAATAGGTACAGAAGGCTCTGGGAGGTTTACCTCGAGAATAAATTAGTCCTAAGGTTGAGAATGATGATCTGGTATATCTGAAATGACCAGTGATGTTAACACAGATTATAGGTTCAGAGGGTTTAAAGTGAAACACCCAAGCAGGAGTATTAGATATAATAATTGGTGGAGAACCTTTGGGCAGACTCCTTAAATAGATAATATAAAAAAGTTACATGTGTAGCCAATTGTACACTCTTCTGTAGTAGTTCATTGAACTACAATACCGATAAGTTTATATTAAAAATTACAATTTTAATTATTACAAGTTTAGTAATTTATATATAAAAATTAATATTTGTCTTAAGAGCAAAAAATTTTTTTAGCTTCAAAAACATATAAAATTTTAGAAAACCTAAAAAATATTTTAATAATAAACTTTTATGTTATACAATCTTTAAACTTTAATTAATTAAAAGTTTTTTAATAAAGTTAAAAAAGTTTCTTAACTAAGTTTATAAAGTAGAATTTTAAAAATGTTTTTTACTTAGAAAGTATATTGCTAAAATTAATTGTTAAAATTTTATTATAAAAATTAATTTTTAAAAAAAGATACAGGCAAATTTGCATGCAATACAATTTAAGAAATAGGTTTAAGAACAATAAAAAGACTAGGAGAAATATGTGATTTAAAATAAAATGATATTAAGTGAAACAAGAAAGGGTTACTATGAATTAGAATCTGTAAATCAAAAACAAACCAGTTTAGAAATAAAAAATTTATCCTTATAAAGAATATAGATTTAAAGATTTATTTTTTAAAACTTTTAAGAGATTATCTATTAGTAAGATCTTGTACAGGTCTAGAAGCACCTTTATTTCTTTTCAAAAAGAAAGCCAAAATGATAATATTTGCAATTGGGTTAATAATTAAGTGTTTTGCTAAGCATGCCAGCCTGACTGGATGATTTACTGCATATTTATTATAAATCGAAGGTGCTACAGCAGCAATGAATGCTGGCTTAAGCTTAATACAAATTCAGGCTATCAGAGGTTGAGATTCAAAAACAGTTATGTTATACTTAAGAGCAGTATCTATAGCTAAAACAGATGCTTCTATATTAATGAGATTTTGATTTAAGCAGTTAAGCACCAAGTATAAGATAAATAAAAAAAAAGTGAAAGAAGCAGAATAATGTTACTTTTGCTCTAATAAACATAGATAGATATTATAAATTTCAAACCTTATTATGTGTAGTTTACTTGTTTTGTGGTCTATGATCCTCAGCAACAATCCTGTATTGTATTATGTCACAATTGTTGATGTTTGATGAATGATCATAAATATACTGCTTGTGAACAGAGTCACAAGGTGGCAATTTATCATGAGTCAGTCACATGATGCCTGCAGAAATTGTTATTGGGTAGAATGTAAATATAAACTTTAAATAAGTATATAAGTAGATTTAACTATTAGAGAGTGTTTTTCTACTCGACAGTATTAACTGTACCTTCTAATCCTCCTAAAAAAGAAAAAAAAAAGAGAGAGAAAGAGAAAAAAGAAAAAGGGAAGGGAAACAAGAAGTTCAAATGAAGAGCTGTTTGTGGCTTTAGTTGCAAGTCAGCAGACCAGAGGATGATAAAGTTTTGATAAGTTTTGATAAGTTATAAAAGACTATGCTAGATTGGCACATATATATGAAGTTCTGCAAAGCAAGCTCTATGATAAATATATAGAGAGCTTTCTGTGATTATACAGGACAGTAGACCAGAGAGAAACTATTAGGTATACAAATCTAATACAAAAAAAAAAAAAAAAGTAAGTAGCAGTTTATTTCAATCCTCAGTAACAGCTCGTTAATTGTGCAGTGTGACCACCAATTCTGTATTGTATTATGTAGCAATTATTGATGTCTGATAAATGATAATAAATAATATAACAGTTCCAATACATTGTATCATTCATAATAAAACCCTAACACTAAACCCAATACACACCTTGTAAAATCTATAAACTTCATTATTTGTTCAAGTTCTTGTTCACATGACTTACTTTACTTGTATTCATTGACCCAAAGTAACTGAAAGCCTTAATCACCCACTAGCCAAATCTAACCCCCTTTTTCCAAAAGATTACCTACTGTATGTTACCCAACATTTTGGATTGTGAAGCGACCGAGTCGCAATCTTCTAAACCCAACAATATTACATAATATAAAGAAGGTAATATATAAATTGGTATGGCCAATAGAAATTTGAAGAAAAATTAGTAAAATTGAAAAACAGTACATTAATTTAATATCATGTTCTTCTATAAAGTTTTAGCAAATTCCTTTTTTTTACTGTTAGACCCAGAACACGTGATCAATGAATCACCGATTTTGTCGTAAGATCATCATTACATGATCGTCTGTCATGATTTTGTCTCGGCTAAGAAGATCTCACCAAATTTGGAATCCCATGCTTATAATGATTATAATGCGTATAATGCATATGGGTGAGTACACAGCAAAACCATGCTTAGAGAAGTTCTAACGGAAATTGTGATTTTTGCTGAATTATATTCCCAAATGTGTGTTTTATCTATACTAAAAATTTTATTACGAATTACTATATTAAAATTTGGTTCAATACCTTTGCGCAGTTTTTTATCGATATTGATATTTTCATTCTAAATTTAGATTAAACCGTTAGTGTAATAATGAAATCATTGTTAATTTAAATTATGCAAGGGGGATGATATTATTGGTTTATAATAATAAAGATTTTTAACGTTTTTATTTGAGATAAATTTTTACTCATGTGGAGCGAAGCAAAACTCATCTTTATAAGGATCATGCACATATGGACGAATATCCTTATATAATTGCTTCTGACGTTTCAAGGATAAAGGTTTTAAAGGAATTGTATTTAATGATTGGTAAGGATCAAAATAAATATTATTCCGAATTGTGGCTTCCACTTTCGAACCATTAGATTCTAATGACATAAATATTTTTCCAGGTTTATCACTATAAAAATAAAAATGCCGAAATGCACGAATGCCATCATATTTAACAAAATGAGGTTCAAGAAATGTTTCAAAATCGTAATAATTCCATCCCATTTGATTTTTTAAATCATATCGAATTGCTATATTGCTTCCTTCTTTAGTCGACTCATTAACAATAGCTTCAACATGATCCATGCTCATAACATTGCATTTACGATATAGAGACTTAATTTTTCCGAAATATGCATCACAAATGAACTTAGTATGGCCAGGAACCATAAAATTAAGTTCAATTATGTCAAAACGTTTAATTATAGTAAGCCATGAATAAAACCAAAGAGTAAGATTGTTTTTATTTTGGCCACTACAATTATCACATGTGACTTTTAAGTGTTTTTGCGTAAAATTCCAATTGAGTAAACTATTATATACAAGGTTCAATATCGTATTAGCACCTTTATGTGTTTTCATTGGTAATTGATGCTCACCGATTATATAATTTCTTTGTATCGCAGGTTCTAAACAGGTATTTGTAACTCCAAAAACATGAATATTAAATGGCGATTTGAAAAATAAACCTTCAGGTTGTTGTGGTGAATACGGAATTGGTACGTTTTGAGCCCAATCATAACAAATATGCGCAATATTAAATTCTGGATTTCTACTCATGTCAATACTTTCATTATAGTGTTGACGTTCGATTGTTGCAGCTGCCCGATGAAGATCATATTTACCTTGAAATTTTTGTTTACTTTCAATATCCTTAACAACTCGGATTTTGATACGAAGCTGCTCACATCTATCACATAAATCTGACGCTTTAGTCATAAATCGAATATCAGGTGCAACTTCATGCCAAATTTGAATAAACGTTGTATAAGCTATAGTTTTAGGATTATCTTCTTTATTAGACTTAATAGTAGAAATATAATCTTCATATACGCTAGTGTATGTCATATCCGTTGGAAGAGAAATAATAGGCATAACATCGTTTTTCATATTTCGACCTGGTGACGGAAATCCATAAATATTTGCATAATTATGAAGGTAGTTATTAATATCTTGTTTCATTTTATTATCAATTACAACACGATCAGGTCGAATTGAAGTACGTCCTATGTTGCCATGAATTATTTCTACTATTCCATTATTTTTAATATGTGACTTGATTCGATCAAGTCGACATGAAGAAATTCCAGTTAATTTTAAATAAGCGGTTAAACACATAATATGATGGGCATCATAACGATACTGATATTTAATACGATTATCTGTTATCAAATTATCAGATTCTTGTAGTTTATTATATGCAAATGACGCAAGTTGTCCCATGATCCAGGTATCTAAATTATTATGAGACATATCATGACATTCTTCTTGCCTTTTAAAAAAATAATAAAAACCTATTTTTTCATAACAGGTTTTTTTTTTGGTTTTACTTTTTCTACAGGTACATTCTTTTTTTTGCCAGAATTCCCATAATTCTTGAACATTTTGACGGATAATATCATTTGTTTCATCATATTCTTCCATTCCTAGTTCTGTAAAAGAAGGCGCGATATCATTTTGTTCTTCATCCATATTTTGTATTAAATTAACGGTTCTTAAAAAATTACATTTTATATCATAACAAATTTTACTCTTAATACGTATTAATGAACAGAAAAGTACATATTAGCATTACCATTATTGTTATATTAACAATTACTATTATTACTGCTAACAATTAACAGTAGTATATGTATGTTAGCGTAACACTGCAGTTTCTAATTTTAGCTTCAATATTAAAAATTGATTGAACATCGATATTTCCATAAAAAAAAATCGGCTCTAAGCATGGTTTTGCTGTGTACTCACCCATATATTGATTATAATCAGTATAATCAATATATACGATATAAGCGCTATCATCATTATAAGTGTGATAATGAATATCGGCACCCTAACAATAGATAGAATTTTGCTTATAAATAACCTGTAATTCCGTCCTAATAAGAGGGCGGATTTGAACATAAGAAATTAATAAACAACTTACCTTGCATACATCAAATAAAGGTTCTTCTACGAGTGACTGTAGAGAACCATCATCATAATAAAATACTTACCCATAATATTAATAAATCCCACCCCTGTTAGCCTAGTATTCCCGAAGTAGTGTGGAATACTGCAATTCTAGAATAGTAGAGTGATAGTCTCGACGTAGTGTAGACTATCCAGGATAAGCCAGACCCGAATCGACATCGCTCGCCAAATCTACACGCCTCTTTCGACCGAAAACCGTCCGAACGTTACACGAAGCCGACCTTCGAATTGCGACAGACTCGCCGAATTAGGACCTCTCATTACATATTGGTTTGATCTGGCATATTTGTACTATCTGAGAACGTAAAAATACAATTCCTGATAGACTAAGAAAATTTTTTTACTTGAATACTGCTCCTGATAGGGTTCTAAAACGAAGCATGATTCTAGCTTTTTTCGTATACTTCACTATAGTAGTATGGTACTTTTAGGAACCCTATAGGAAATAGTACTGACGATCCATCGGGAACAATATCTTTGCATTAGCAAAAACCAAAAAATGATATTTTTAAAAAAATACTTAAATTTAGTAAATTGCTAATTATAAGTTGGTTTATTACATGAATAATCTACTAGAAAATATTGGATCTCTATAAATGTGACTTGTTTTTAATAGTTTGATTTATTGATTATCAATTTATCATGGCAATAACAAATTTATCAAAAAAATTATAAAAAGAAAAAATAATGAAACCAGGTATAATATATATGTCGTACGTTGGAATGGAATTTAGAATTCACCTGGGTTGATTCCAAAGAAACATAAGTTATAATAAAATTCTAAAATATACATAGTAATTAAAGAATTCCAATTTAACTTACGATAAAATTAAGTGTATTTGAGTGTCGCTAAAAGAAAACCCGAAAATTTAAATATAAGTCATATTTAAATTTTCGGGTTTTCTTTTAGCGACACTCATTTTATCGAGTGCTTTGTTTTGGAATTTAATCGGTTTAAAATAAGATTTATCTATTTTTGGAAACTTATTAGAGCCTAACGGAAAAAATTAATTAAAATTATACTAATCCTAATAATACCAGATTTGTATCCAAGTTTATATGTATAATTCTTCAAACTTCAAGGATCTTGCAGGGGAGCAGCTTTCTATTGTTGTGCTTGTATTTACTAGATCGTGTAAAACCTTAACACAAAAATCAAAGCCATCACGAGTTTAAGTTGACTATTGGCCAATTTTTTGCCAAGATATTTAGACAAAATTCCTCGAATTCATTATGAGAAAAAAATGAATAATCTTGAAATTCGGGCATTGGATAGAGTTTTGTAAAAACGAAAAAGTGAAATAAGAGAAAAAAAGTAGTAAAAAATTTATATTTTATCTTGACAATTTATCATGACGATATGATTTAATTATTTAATTATTGTTACATTAATTGATTACATTCAATGCAGTATTAAATTTAAAATCAAATTTAGAATCAACTTGAGTTGGTTTTAAATTTCGTATCAACTTGGGAATTCCATTCCAGCTTAAGTGGATTCTAAACCTACAATAATTCCATTTCGACATAAACCATTTAATTTTCATATAAAATTAAAAAATTTATTTATTTGTAACTTGATGGTAAGAGCAAAAATATATAATCTACAATATAATGTTTTCAAGTGTGTAATACAGACATTTATTTACTAATATCTTTTTTGGTTATAAACTAGAAATTAAGTTTAATCACCTATCCAATTAATAATTGGATATAAAAGGCAGTATAATAATTTTGTGGTATTTTTTATTTTAAATTAGAAAAAAATTTAAATTTAATCCATATTGACTTTTATAATGTAATAGAAGAACTTAGTAATGATTGTTGATAAAATGTTTATCATGTCACTTATCTTGTAAAACTTTTATATTTAGCGAAGTCTTAATTTCATTAATAAATAACATAATAAGTAAGTTGTTTCACAATTAGATATGTCCTTTATATTAAATATGTCAATTTCAATATCCATATCAATGTACAACCCGGCACTGCATTTATTAGGTGTCGCTTTGTGCTAGATGGAAGGACCTAGATACAGGCTCAGTCTGTATAAGATAAGCTAAGCAAGTACTAAAGTACCAAAGTATTGGTAAATTTACAGTTGTATATTATGTGGTAATTAAATTCAGATAGATTTATGAATAAAAAGGATTTTGGACTCATAATGAGTCCACATTTATATTTAACTGAACTGAAAACTCTAGGCATTTCACTATTAAGCACTATACACGTATTAAGCCATATCAGTGTTTCATGCAGATTAAGCAAAAAGAGGAAATTTCATCGATATCTTTTTATCGTTTTATACGAAAACAAAAAAATGAAGTTAGAGGCCAGAATTATTTGCAAATTTTGCCAAATAATCCCAATTATTTTAATAATATTCATATTCAAATTATAAACTTATGAAAATAGCCATTTAAAAACTGTTCTTTTTTTAAAAAAAAAAAAATATGGGAAACGAAATCTATTTAAAACTATTTACCTTCTATCGGATATTTTACTCAAAATATATAGGGATGAGACCAAATTTATCTGTAATGGATACAGACAACCATTTTGTTAACAATATACGTTAATACCAAATTACACATAAATAACATCAATACTACATATAATCGTGCCAACCCTAACCTAAATGCACTCTTACTTTCTGTGCCAGATTATATCGATCATTAGCCTAGATTGATCGACATCGGCCCATATTAAGCTAATTTTGAGGTTAGCATTAGGTTAGGGTAGATGATGATTTAGAGTAATACTTATTACTGAAATTATGGAGTTTTTTTATTATAGCATTTCATAGCGGTCAGGTGAAATGTCCAATGATCTGCATATACGTATACTATGTAATTTGGATTGATAAGATTGATAACATCTGAA